TCTTATGGAGATCTTTTGAAGAACTGGCCTTTGATGTCAACCATCATTGTGTATTGTGTTTTCTCGCTTCAAGAGATAGCTTATACAGAAGTAAGTTATCTTTCTTTACATCAATCTTGTTCTATTGTGTCAATGGATTATATAATTCAGCACGCCTGCTCCCATCTGGTTTATATTTTGAACCAAGCAATGCCCAAGTCTTTTAATTATTAGGGTAACTATGAGATTCAAGCGCAGGATCTTTGTTCTGATACCATGTTAAATCATTAGCTTATCTGAAAACATAAACTTAGAGATAGCAAGCTCGTTTATCGTATATTAAGACAATTTGAGTTCTTTTTTTTTATGTAGAATTCTGTCACATGATATCTCAACAATCTCTCTTGCTTCTAAACCACATCAGGTTTTAACATCCCGTTAAGCCTAATCCACCATTCCCTGCAAGCATTGTGTCTAATCGCTCTTTGTAAGAGTCCACTTATCAGCACCAATTTCTTTTAAACCTCTTGTAGGAGTCACATGTTTCCCTCTACCAACAGTCTGCATCTCGGCCTGCATCATACTCTGCGCCTTGATCCGCGACTTATCTACTCCATGGGGTAGTATTTTCTGTTTTCTCAGAAAACCTGACATTACGTCAATTGGCACTTTGTTATAAAAATAAGAAAGTGGTGCTACAGAAGAATTTTATTTGATAACGATTTCTTCCATCTAAATTGGGTTTCGTTGAATTCTCTTGATAGAAACTAGAACAAGATATATGCATATGAATCGAGACCCTTTTTTCAGCAACAATTTATCTTGTACTCCAAATATAATGATGGAACATCTCTTGCAATGCAAATTATGTAGAGAGATAACGACATTATTAGACTCAATCTACTAGAGAGATCCCTCAACTATATGAACCAACCTTGGGTCGCCCTAATCTTTCAATGTGGAATACAAGCTCTCCTCACACCTTCCCTCGTGTCGGACTTAGGCTCACACGTAAGCTAACAAATTGAACTGAAACAAACTACCTGACAAAGAGAAGCTTGGTCTACTAACCACCTAAGCTCCAACTCTTACACCATATTTGAGGCATCAAATCCAAAATTATTTGGCAATTAGTGGAGAGATCCTTACTATATAAATCAACTTTGGGTGACGCTAATTATTCAATATAGGATTCAAACTCTTTTCAAAGGAACATCATGCACTGCATTGATTCTCACTAGACTAATAATAAATATGATAATTGTGTTCTTTTCTGTTTGTTGGTTCTTGACAAGGATCAAAATTTTGTTTTGGTCCAATTTTTCGCTCACATAGGAAATAAAAACGTATTCAAAATATTGTAGAAACAAGATGAAAACAGAGAAACAAAATTTGTTTTGGTCCAATTTTTCGCTCACATAGGAAATAAAAACGTATTCAAAATATTGTAGAAACAAGATGAAAACAGAGAAAAGATTTGAAAATTTGTTTCCGAACACTGGTCAAAACACCTCTAAACAGGCCAAAATACTTCAAAACATAAGGATTTTGATATTCAGTTATTGATTCGTTTCGATTTCTATGTAAACGGAAATGTTTCGACCTTTTTTATATTTGGTTCTGGATAGCAAGTTGAAACACAATATATACCATCTTGACTGAAATCCTTATTGTTTGATCCTACTCTAGGTGTAATTCGCTTACCTCAAAATTGCAAATCATTTTTTAAATACCTATTCTAATATGATACTTTGAGAGCTAAAAGTACTGTCTGCATTTTTCCTAATAATTCTTTTTATTTTTATAGCATGTGAGCATTCTGGTAAACTCCTCAATTTAGTGTGTTGTGTAGCAATCATTGGTACTAGGTTGCTTCTTTATTATGCACAAAAATATTGAAGTTGTTTGAGTTCTTTGAAACTTCATTCTTTCCTCACATCCTTCCAACACAGATTTCGTCAGCCTATTCTTGACTTAGCGGTATCCTCATTAGTTAAAGCATTGAGATGTGAAACTCATGAAATGGTTATGGCAGTCACACCACTACAGAATAAAATAAAATGAAATAAATATAGGAGCAAGAGTACATATGACTATACTGGCCCCCAACCTTCTACTTTCATGATTTAAGCCTTTATTGTATAGCACCCTTTGTTCTCTGACACCCGGTCTTCAACGCGAGTTCTCATTTTTAATCCTTATTATCTTTTTTATACGAGAATAACTTTGCATTAAATGTATTAGGTACATTGGTATTGCATCATGGATTATGTGAGAAGTGTTGGCCAAGGACATGAATTTTGTAAAAGTGTATGCCTAAGAGTGGTTTAGTTGTGTCGATGTTCAACACATTTCCAACCAGCAGCTTATCTGTAGACCTTTCATAGTATTCATCTGTTCACTTCAGCTATGAATTTTTTTTCTTTTCTTCCTTTTCAGTTTCAGACTACTTGATAGCGATTCATCCAAAATACTATTCTCATGGAAGAGACATTTTGCTCTCAGAAATCTTTTGGTTTACCCTTTTTAACGACTGGAGTTTTCACATATATATTTATAAAAGATGTAATAAATTAACTGTTTTGCAGATATTCTCCCTGTGGGCAGTTAGTGACAAAAAGTTTGGCGGGTTGAGCTTTTCCTCTCAGGAAGTTGGTGAGGTTCTGGCTATATCAGGTACGTATACCCCAGAAAAGCTTTATGATCGTCGAAAGGAGTATGTCAGTTTTTTAAAATTGATTTTTGGGCTCTTATCTTTTTATTTCAAGACATTGTACTTCAAATAAGTCTTTGTGTTTATTAAACACCAACTACTCCAAAAGTTTAAACTATTAGAGAGAAAATAAAATAAGTATTTATAACTTCAGCATGCCTCCCCCCTTCCCCAAATGCGCACACAATGGGGGATATATTTACACCAAGCACGAGCAAGTCTTTTACTTATATGAATCGTGGTGAGATTCAGATGCACAACTTACTGCTCTGATGCCATAGTAAACCAGCAGCTCTAAAACCCTAAGTTGTTAGTGAGTGTAGAAGAGCGGCTCAATACACGAGGCTCCTACCACTGCAGAGTTTGGAGAGTGTAACATACTTACATATATACTTCAGTAGCATTCTGTTGGTGTTGTATTTCTTATTTTTAAGATCTGTAGCGTTTTATATCTTGTTTCTAAGATATACATGTGTGCGTCTGTGTAGGCATATGATTTTTCATTCACAATTTGATAAAGTATTTGTATGAATTAGTAAGAAAGGTTCTTCTTTGAGAACCCCTTTTGCTCTCTTATTGTGTATGCAATAATTGCATTTTAATTTGTTTTCAACATGCAAAAATATTGATACAAACAAGGATTTTTTTCGATATGTGCAACTACTGATACAGGACAAATATTGACCATTTTGGTTTTCCTTCATGAATTTGAATGTTTGGATACAACCATGTACACCATATGTAATAAACCATGAAACAAGAGAAATTATTTGTATACTTCCTTGAACTATTATTAAAATTATGAAATACTTGGTATTTATGTTATTTGTTGATGTATGTCTATATAATTTGCACTGATAAATCCCAAGCAAGAATATGATGGTTTGACATGAGTACTAGACAATGCACTATATTTACAATACAAATAGTCTGTTTTATCTAACCTCCTCCGACACTGCCACTCCCCTTTTCAAAGGCAAGGTGGGTCAGAAAATCTAGAATTTATTCCTTGAAAAGAAAATTCTCAAGCGTGTGGGATATAGTAAATTGAATGTATAAAATGGGGCATTCCAAGTGCCATAATATGATAATGGTGGAGAGAAAATGACAATTTTACTTGCATGTCTTCTTATGACAGCCTGAATTGCTAGCTATCCAAGGGGCTCTCTGTTTTTCATAGTTGGGGAGTGAAGGTGGAAATAGTTTCTCTGCAAAATGGTGTAGCCATAATATTTTAGCACTTGCAGTTACCTTGACAAGATACCCTATTTCAGCACTCCTGTTTCAGCACCATATCTAGATAAACCTCTTAGTGCTTGTTATGCACACGAGATGAAAGCCCAATTAGTGATGTTGGTGGCCCATTCAACATCTGAATAAAGGTGAGTTGAGGGGAATGCATGAGTCATATGCTGTGAAGATGATCTATAATCTGAATTCTGGAGGACAATGGCATGATGGATGGATTGAGCAATAAGAGTACTCTAAAGGCCCACATTGATAGAGCAAGGTAACTAGGATCACTGGCCAATGAATAGAGAGACTAGCATTCGAAAAATGCCCTGCAATCATCCAGACAAAGCATCACTTGAAGCTCTATAAGAAATTAAGAATGCAGCCCGCAAGAACATTTGTCAAAGAAGCTCAATTGATTAAGTACCTGCATATTTCTCCTGAGAAAGCAGATATTCATGTGAATAATACACAAATGCAAACACAAAGTTAGTGAAAGATTTAAGATAAGATTTCTTGAACTTTGAACATAAAATCTCTTTGACGAATCAAATCTGTAAATGTAATGAGGTTTGCCCCATGCAGAAATATGAATATTATTTCATCATTCGACAACAGCAACATAGTACACCCACAAGCTGAATAGTGTAAAAAGTTAGCATGATCTTGCTTGCTGCACTAGAACCAGTGGACAAAATGGCATGACTAAATTTCTCAGGACAAACATTGGGGGAGCCTCTGTAACCTTAAATGAGCTAATGTGAAAGTAGATGAGTTCCATACTAATGATAGAAAATCAGAAGTGATGGGTGCTATAGATTATAAAACATCGTTAAATGGATATACTGGTTGATATCTAGCACATCTGCAGAAAGAAATCATTGCAAGTAAGCTTGAACTTGATTGGATTGGGTTATCCAAGCTAACAGGAGCTGTCGTTAATGTTACAGCTACGTACACATCTGCAAATAATCCACTTATTCTACCCTTCTTTGATTGTATGTGTACTTATTTAACTTTATGGTTACTTTTTTTCTGATTGTTCATATTATTTTGTTCATCGGACTGTCAGGGTTTGGCCTTCTATTGTTTCAACTATTATTATATCCAGCAATTGAGAAGATTCTTGGGCCACTAATGGTTACACGCCTTTCAGCGGTATCAAATTGAACTTTGTGGTATTCCAAGTGCCTCATCCATTTTTTTCATGTAAATAGAAAAATAACTCTTGATGCTCTTCTGGCTCAGGTTATATCAATCCCTTTGCTGGCAAGTTATCCCTACATAGCCATGCTCTCAGGGTTAATTCTTCATCTTGTGCTAAACTGTGCATCAATATTAAGGAATGCGTTATCTGTGAGTACATTTTGAATAGGAAATTTTTTTAAGGTGAAAATACAAATTCTATAACATATTAAAAACAGCACATTGCATTTTCCCTACAAAGTACAAGACAAAAAAGATATGTATCAATATCATCAGCTTTTTTGACCGTGTCATTGGCCAAAATTTGTACAAAAAACATGTGGGTTTTTCTGAGCTCAAATTTTCATCCATATTATGTCATGAGTTTAACAGTTTGATGTTTTACAAAGATATGAACCTTAATAGAGCACAATTGTGTAACGGAATTCTTATGGCCAAGGAACAAAATATCGTTTCAAAACAGTCTAAAAATCTGAAACGTTTCTGTTTCTAAGGAAACCCAAACGATTCAGTGACAAAATCAAAATTTTAATACTTTGAGGCGTTCCATAATATTTCAAAATGTTTTGTTATATTTCAATGTATTTGTACAATTATTTTGAAATATTACAAGATATTTGAAGATATTTTGGTATATTTCAACCAATGTTTTGAAAAAATAATTTTTAAATTTTTATTTTTTTTTATTCTATTTTCTAAACGGGTAGAAATGTTTACGAAACATGTCGAAACGTTTTCGTTTCCTAGATAACCGAAACAATGTACCGAAACGAAATTTTGATTCTTACTTACAGTCGACCCCAAAATAATTGAACTAAAGCTCAGTTGAGTTGAGTGTAATCTTTCGAGTTCGCACAACTGTACTAAATGTTAACAGAGAAACTGTTTTTATCTTATTTATCCTGGAAGAATATTGCAAGACACACTATGAAGTAGGATCTTTCTGATTGTGAGTGAAAATTCTGCTTGATTTTCTATGTTGACATAAACTCTAAGCTGAGTCTCAATGACAAATGATGAGGACACATACAAATGAGTGTAGTGGGTAGCTTAGGTGGATAAACATAGAGTTGGCACAACATCATGATCTAATTTTTTGTCATGAATGGAATCAAATTCCGTTGAGATGACCATTCAGTCCCTGTTTGACTGATTAGTAATGTTGTTAGGTTGCAACCCTAATGGTGTATATTCACTAGTGAAGTCCTGTAGGTAATATTTTCCCACTGATCGGTGCTTTTCAGTTGCAAGCACGCCAGGCATCTTACTGTGAAGTTTTCATCATCAACTCTTCAATCTTCTTGAAATGAAGTCCCACAACAGACCAAATTAAATGTTTTCATGTGTTCTTAAGGGATTTGAAGAGCAGTAGTAACGCAATTTTTTTGTTAGCTCATTTTCAAGGTCACAGAAAGTTATTGGAGAACCTTATCCTAGTGAAAATTTTGAAATAAAAATTTTCTGCTGACTAATTGACATCATTAACTCTTATCGGTTCCACATGATAATGACTCCTCGTTGAAGTGCTAGTAGTGGCTGATATAAGCAGTTTCATGTGCTGTTAATTCTCATTCCAGAGGAGCCTCCAATCAAATCATCTCTTAGATACCAATTTAATTAGTTCGTTCATCTAATAGGATTTGAGATAGAAAAAATGAGTAAAGAAAGGGAGAAAGACAGAATGACAACAAATGAGATAGCCTAAGGTTGTCTCCTCTATCGTGGCATTTATATTTTACACTCCTTGTGCAAAGAGAGCACATAACACCCTTTATATTTTTGAGCACCATAATAGAATCAGCAAATGAAGGGAAGGAAAACAAAATAAAAAAAACTAAAACAAGAGCATACAGGTTACCCTTTTATTTCACATTATGATCTTAATAAATACATGGCCAGATCGCCTTAGAGGTATTGCTAAACTCAAGTGGGTACTCTTAATAACATCACATACAACTTTCCAGGGGATGGTGGGGGACATCGAACCAGTACCATTGGCATCAAGAAGGTGCTCTATTGGTCATTCAAATGTCTGACCAAAAGAAAAGTAATTATTTTTTTCTTCTGAGTTGTAAAGAAATGAAATGGAACAACTCAAAACATGCTAACATCAGATGTGTACTTTTCACCTATTTAGTGTCTCCATAACTATAACCAACTGAAGTGACACCAATCTACTGGCATGAACAGACCTGATTGGACCTGATTTATGAGATGAATTTTATTTGATGCTGCCTCAAGCCATTAATGTATTGAAGGAGATATAAGATAGAATATGGAAAACAATGATTCTAAAGATCCTACACATTTTATGAAGGCTGATGGTTGTGAGGGGATAACAAAAGAAAATTCATTAGTTGCAACCATAGTAATTCAGTACATTTATTTTGGGATTATCTCTCTCTCTCTTGATCTTTTTAAATTCATGCAAATATAATCTACATTACTTAATAATTGTTCATTTTGTGGAAGAAATGGATCTTGTGAATTGATTGTTTGACATTGTTCAGGTGTCCCTAGTCACTGGGATATTCATCTTGTTGAACAATGCAGTGGTAAGTTCCCAACGCTTACTTTCAATATTTGCTTTCAATGCCTTGATCTCTCTTCCATCATAAATCCTTTTTGTATATTCTTTTTCCATGAATCCATTCTAGATGTTTCTGGTGTTAGCACATTTTTTGATGTGATTTTATGACAACAGCCGCAACACCAAAGGGGAGCTGCAAATGGCATTTCTATGATGGCAATGTCTATTTCTAAGGCATTTGGTCCAGCAGGAGCTGGCGCTCTGTAAGTGAACTTCAGAATATTTTACCCTTTTACCATTTGTTGCATAGTATTGATGAAGAAGCTTGACTTTGACATTATCTGCTGCTTCTTATAAGATAGAAGTATGTATTTGTGTATAGTTCATGCAGTGATGTGTAGTTATTTCCTAAAGATCTCATTTATCTTATGTTTGTTACATTGAAATCAAGAATTTTAAAATCGGGATCCTACATTGGATCAATGGGGAAGGATAGAGGATCAGGATCGGAGAATCAGATCGAGTATCATAATATCCTACAAACTCCAAAAACTAGACGAAAATATATATAACTATACATAATTCTTAAAAGCAAGAATTAAACAAGCCTATTTTATGCAAATAGAAATATTCTAAAAAACATAAAAATCAGAAATATGATTAGACTGCAAAAAACTTCAATCCGATCATTGAAGATGGCTGAAAATCAAATTCAAAGGATGGGTGTTAATCTATGGGAATTTGCGAAGAGGAATAGGAGAATTGAAGTATTTGACCTTTAGAGACTGGAAAGCTGAGAGGCTATTGGATAAAAAACTTCAATGATTCAAGATCCAAAAAAAAAAAAAAAGAATATTTGGCAATTTCACTGGCCAAAAGAGTAGATTAAACCTAATTGTTGTTTTAATTTTCAACAAGAGAGACAAATGAATGAAGAGAGCTTTCTGTTGCTTTTTTCATCCGCAGAAATTCTATAATAGATACAGTTATACGAGACAATCACATTTGTACTGAGTCTTTAAGTATTAAAATGATAAATATGAATTGAGCCAGCTTAATAGCTAAATGCGCCTAACAAACAAACAACACAACTAGGATTGGTAAAATTGCAATTCGGATTGGATCATATGATCCTATAAGATCCAAATCATGATCTAGATCCTATTAATTTAGGATTCTATATGAGACTCGAAGCGATTTGCCAGCAGTGAATCATAGGATCCTAAGATCCAGATTGGGATTCTGATAACCACAATTGAAATTGAAGCATGAAGAAGTAATTGTGGCAATAAATTTCCATAGTCAACCTGATTCTCAGTCTTGAGTATGCTTGTTAAAGATATTAGAGATGGCAAACTCCTTGCCGTTTGATTGTTGCAAATTGTTTTTAGCATCAATTCCCTTATCTAAATGCAATCTAAGCTCAACTATTACAAAAGCCTAAGAATAACTAACATTAACATCAAGCTGTCTCTAAAGAATCATCTATATTCGAGTTGAAGCGGCTGACATGAGGGTGGGCATTGTTGCAATGATAAAGTTGCTCTATTGTGACCCATGTGTCAAAGGTTCAAATCACAAAGACAACCTCTTAACATGGGCGTAAAGCTGCGTATAGCTGACCCTGCTGTGAGCGAGAGGCTCTTGCTCTGGGCCATGCATTTGTTTTTCCCAAAAGTGGTTGACTTATATTCAAGGGATCCATCTAATCCTACTAAACATTATAACCAAAGCACAATTATTTATGAGTAACTGATCAACTTGGTGATTGGTTTATCCATGTACAAATCGGTTTTGGGTTGGATGTTCTTACAAAGAAAGTTTCGTGACTTGGACTGTGGCTCAATCTCCACCCTGATTTTAGTTGCATCTGCACAATGACAAAAAATACCTCAATTCTATTCTGGAATAGAACGTCAGCATATTACTATATTCCAATTGCACTAGCTGTTTTGTATTATTTCCACATATGTTATTTAACTGTGTTTCCCCTAAAGAGGATAAAAAGAAAAGGAAGTTCTACTGCTTGCAAAAAAATAAAAATCATAGAAAGAAACAGAGTTCTAACAGTAGAAAATAAAATTTAACTTTTTTAGTCATGCTCGTTACAAGAAACCCAATATCATGCACCTCCTCTTTGTTGCTGGTCACTCATTTCATTTTGTTTCTTCTCTGGATTCACATGCTAATAATCATGGCTGCAGTGATCTGACCAGCCAACCTGCTGCCTGACTGCCTGCTTGGCAGTCATTATTGGTAGCTGCACGAATTATTCAAGGATTGCATGGAAGTGACCCTTAAAATCATATAGAGGTGCAATATTTGGCACAAATTGTTGATAATTAAAGGTAGGCAAATTAGAGTGCAATCTTGTCAAAACAATGGGAGTTGTGTATGTAAAGAGGTCACATTTGTCTGAGAATTCGCAGGAGAGTTAATAAGATGACGCTGACGTGTATAAAGAAAAGATATGATGGTACCAATTAATTAACAGATGCTACCGCACTTTTCAATTGCATAGCGAAAACTCGAACAGATTATGGGGTATTTCATTTTTTCAAGTTCCATGTCTGAAAGTTGATGCAGAAATTTCTATTTTATTCAACATATGAATCAATATAACTGTGTTAATGTAAATGGCTTATTTAGGATTTCAATTCATCTGGGGATTGTCGATGCCTTAGTGGCACACTTGCACCACAGCATACATGATTACATTGTACTTGATTAATTGTGGATTTCTTCTTATATTTACAGCTTCTCTTTGGCACAAAAGCGTCAAGTTGCTATCTTCCTCCCAGGTTTGAAATTTCACTCACACATTGTCTAATTTGGGGATGCAAACTATGTTTTTCATGTTATATGTACTGTCTGAAAACATTTTTTGGTCACATACCCAGAGAAATTCAGTTTATATGCCCTAGGAATTTGATTCAACGTAGTTCTTTTTCACTTTAAGACTTCTCTGTGTGTGTGCACGTGTAGGTGCATGTTTTGGCAAAATTCGATATTTCATCTAAACTAATATTGAGGTTCCATTTCAAGTTCCTTATAGTCTACAAAATTGAATAATTGGAAAACCAGAAAAGCCCCATTGAAAATGAACTTGTTAAATTGATGTTCTTTAAGATTTTAATGCTGTTAGTGCAAAAGGTGATATTTAAACAGGCAATGTATTGATGTCATTATATTGTATGGAATAGCCTTGTCTACAAGTGTGTTCCATTCATTTGCAGATCTATTTCAGTTATTTTGTTAATTGTACTTGATGTATAAAAGTTATTTATCAAGACTTAAACAAATGTATGCTCCCTATTTGAAAAATTGTTGACTAAAAGAAGTGTTTGAATTTCACTTTCTGACAATTTGAACTCGCAGTGGTCCATTTTTGATTAGCATGATCCTTTCTGAGATTTGATCTTAATTTTCTGCATTTCAGGATGTTCTAGTTGAAACTCAAATAATAAAGTATCAGGATTTAGGTTTAGGAGAAAGAAGAACAAAGAGAAGAGAGAAATAGATTGAGAAAATAATGATTAGGATATGTATCACAACCACGAACCAAAACTTCATTATAAAAAGTGGTAAAAACCTTATGTAATTCATATCGATCTTTCATAATGAATAACCAAGTCATAGGAAAGAAATCATCAATAAATATTACAAAACATTAAAAATCAGAAATACTTTTAACTCTCTTGCAGGACTCCAAATGTTTGTATGGACAACATTAAAAAGACTAGGTTGACAACTTGAAGAACTAGGAGGAAAATAACCATGGTGATGTTTGCCTAATTGACACAACTCACATTCTAACACCAAGAAAAAACTCAAATCAGGGATAACTTGACACAACTTTGCAAGGATGGATGACCTAGTCGAAAGTGTCATTGGAGAGGAGACACGGTAGCACTCAAGGCTAGAACAAACCCTCCAGGGTCCAAATGGTTAAAAGTATTGCTCTCATGCCCCGAACAATCACCTTCTTTGTCTTGACATTTGGAAAAACAAAACAATATGGAGAAAAAGTTAGTGAACATTGTAAGTACTTAGTTAACTGACTCACAGATAACAAGTTAAAGTGAAAATTTGGAACAAACGAACTAGAAGTTAATAATATAGATTGAGTGGGATGGTCATTGCTAGTCCCATGTATTAGTCGAAAAGAATCATCAGCTAAAACAATATACAATTTGGACGAACAAAAATAAGAGAATATAAAAGAAGTACCAAACACATGAGCACTAGCTCCTGAATCAATGACCCAAGAGAACAAAGAAGGTTAGGTAGAAACACCTACTGGGTTACGTCCATTAGCAAAAATAGTGGCAGCAGTAGACAAATGTGGAAGAAGTACGTATAACTGTTGGATTAGTTGACTAAGTTGAGAAAAAAGATCATCATGAGAATCAGAAATAGATGCAATTGGACCATCGGTAGAAATCTGATGCATTTGAGAACTCGAAGTATCATCCAAAGACTGATTAACAATTGTTGGTCTCCCATGTTTATCCCAACAATAATCCTCAGTAAGTCCAATGCCACCGCAATAAGTACAATTCCACTGAGAACAATTACCATGACTAGAATGACTATAATGTCCACCATGGCCATCACCTTGACTGCCACCACGACCATCACGATTATTCTCATTAGATATTCAAGCCGAGTCCTTTTGAGTAGATGAAGAAGTCCTATAATTGAGCAAAGCATGTTAAAGATGAGAGACAAAAGTGATATATCTAGTCTGATTGAATCAACTTGTCTTACCTGAGGATCCATTAAAGGGGCCTTTACATCCTCCAAAATTGTCATAATGAAATCCAAAAAGATCAACTCATTGAAGTTATCAATCCAACCACAATGTACCCCACCTACGTAGCCTATAAACACACACAAGAGCGAGAGATCCCCAAAACAAAACCACCCAAAAACAAATAGGTGAATCACAAACAATTATTAGGATTTTAATCAAACTCCTATTTTTTACAAAACTGATACCCAATCATCAGAACAAGACACAAACAAGGACTATATTGATGAAACAATTGTAATCTCAACAGCGACAACCAACAATCACAACCAAAGAAACTCGATCATCGGTCATCACAACTTCTTAGCCATGAATTAGGATCCAAAGATCTTCATACAAGCGGTCAAAGTTTCACGATGAACAGTAACCCCATGAATAGTATATGTGAACAATAATCGATGACCAGTGGGTAGAGCAGAGAAAGAAGAAAAGAAAAGAGGGGAAAGAGAGGGACGGACTATAACAAATGTTTTGATACCAAGTTGAAACTCAAATAATCAAGTATTAGGGTTTAGATTGTGGAGAAAAAAAAAAAGAAAAATAAGAGAGAAAGAAATTGAGAAAAAAAATGAGTATATAGGATATGTATTACCAACACCCTATCACCTATTTATATTAGATTGTCACAATATTAGAAAAGTAGAACATAGTAAGAAAGCACCATAGTAGGAAAGTAAAATAACAAAAGAAATCCCTAATAAAAGGAAATATATCTCCAACAGTTCTAAATCAAAATCTTGAGCATGCTAATCTAATTTTCGATAAATTGGTGTGTTCTGCCTTCACCCAAATTGTTGATTAGAAAAGGGCCGAGTTTGAGCTTTCCTTGATTTGGAATTTGGAGATTTTAGAAATATATATTGGGGATAACTCTGTGCCCGAAGACACTATGTAATACCAAAAATTGAAAATTGATTCTGCAATATTTATATTTTAAATAATAATTTTTTTTTTAATTACGTAATTTAAAATTAAAATGAAGAAAGAAAAAAGAGAGGTAAGTATAAATTAGTGAGATTGTTTGGCATCATAGAGTGTATTATAGGGCGGAGCTACCCTTTGGTACAAAGGGACCATGCCCCTCCCCCCCCCCCCCAAAAAAAAAAAAAAAAACTTTTGCCAACACCTACAAAAAAAAATATATATATATATATATAGATATTAAGCACAAAAATATGAACATTGTCAAGAGAATTGGCCCCACGCAGAAAATTGTTACTGTAAAGATAATAGAATGATCTTCCAATTTTAACAATAAAATGTTTTCTCCCAATAACATATACTCTCTCAATTTATGAGGGTGTGGCCCACGTCACTTTTGCTTACTAAATTAGTATCCTTTAAATGAACATGTAAATAATTAAATATTAACATCAATTTTGATGGCTCAAATGATGTGCTACAGAAGACCCATGAACATTTAATTAGTGTGCGAGTGTGCCACTTCATTTGAACTACTAAATTTAGTCCCAAATTTTGTTTAATTTGAAATAAAATATTATGAACTTTTTCAATCCATTCAATTTTCAATAAAGAACATTTGAACTTTAGAATACAAAAATTTCATACTTATTTTGCCATAACTTTTTTCTAATTATATCATATTGAATGTTGTCAAAAGAAAACTTTGTAATACATAGGAGACGATTTTGTTATAGATTCATTAAAAGGATAGGTAGAAAAAAAATTACTAAAAATTATTATACGGATTCAAGTATAGATGAATTTCATAGAAAAAATGTCGAGTACCAAATTAATGTACAACTCAGTTGATATGTATTCAAAACCATTTTTTTTCCATGTCTTTATTTTATCTTTTTATCACATATATTACTTTGTTGGATATATTTTTTGTGCTTCGAGAATCTAAATAGATAAACTATATATATTGTTTACATTGTCGGCCTGAGTTTTGTACATTAAATTTGCCCTCCTCCCCTCCCAGAAAGAAATTTCTGGCTCCATCATTGAGTGTGTTGACATGCTGATTGAATTGTCTGATTGAGGATTGTGCAAATAAAATGAACATTTAGAGCAGGAAAAATAATTTTGGGATAAATTTTATTAGATGAGAATTCAATGATTGTCGTAATATACTTGTTTTTCTTCTTACTTCATTAGCATGAAGTCTGGTAGCTTAGAAGATAATGGTTTTGGTTTGTTGTTTCCTTGACAGAATAGTAATTTTGCTTGTCAGGTGATCAACTGGTTTTCTTCGTGTTAAACTTGGTTCAGTTCATCGGGTTGGTGTTGACCTTCAAGCCTTTTCTGGCACAACTCCATGACTAGAGCATTGCTAGAGTTAATGCATTAAGCAGCGACTATATTCATCACTTTGTACTACTCCTTTGGCTCTGACCTTGAAGGCTCCATTGTATATATGAACCAGTACTCCTGCAGTGATCCTTTGTAAAACTTGTTGGTATGTTATTGTTTAATCTAAAATAAATTGACAGCCTCTCAAGGATTTGCTTTGCGTTAGTTTGGGCCTCAATATTTGAATTGTGTTAATTTGATTTCTCAAATTTTCAATTGGTGTCACTTTGATTCAATCGAAAACGATAATTTAGTTGACTAACGGAGATATTCACTTGACCACACTTGAGGATCACTTTGGTCTCTCAAATTTAAAACTTTTTTCATTTTGGTCTTTCAAATTTACGGTCTGTGTCACTTGAGTCCTTAAAGTTTTGAAAGAATGTGTCTCAAGTATAATCACGTGAGATATACATAATGATTTTCGTTAGTAAATTTAAGTTTCAACTGTCATTTTCAATTGGACCAAAATGATATAAATTAAAAAGTCAAGAGACTAAATTGACACAATTAAAAAATTGATAACTAAACTAGCACAAAATTTATATTTTACTATATAATTTATCGTAATTATTAAATTTGTAAATTCAAATAAAAATTAGAATTCATCGTCAATCTAATAATTATATCACTAAATTAGAGACAATCAGTACATGAAAATATGATACAATATAAATAATTTTAAAAAAAATATTATTGACCATTAAATGAACTTATTTGAAATTATCGGATAAATTTATTAAAATTTATCCTAGATTAAATTCAGTTAGCGTTACTAATACGAAAAACACATGTGCAGTTTGTAGAAGTTATCTAAATAGAAGGGTCAAATCATGCTGATGTGGAATATAATTGTTGGATAGTTATAAACAACTATTTCTATTACCAAACAGCGACAGGTCAGATAAAGACTCCTCAAAAACCTTATCCACAATTATCTTTAACGTCACGTGCTCATCATCATTCTAGGGGCTACCAAGACAAACTCCACCCTCCACTTGGGACCCGCCTTATCAACCACGTGTGTCTTTATCGCCACGTAATCCACTAGCTTCATGCTATCGTAACCAGAGTTACAATCTCACGCGCATCAACAACCACGCGTCGTTGAATTTTTATAACAGGCTGTGTCAATTCATTTTAGATCTTAACGGGTTAATACCGAAATTTAAATGAAATTTTAAAAAATTACAATTTAAATAAATATTTTCTCTTGGATGAATGGGGTGTACTCATCTCACATTTATCCAAGGGATAATATATATTTTAATTTTAATTTTTAAATTTCATTTGAATTATATAAAAAATTTTATATCGAAAACTACCCAATTCATATATGAATTTTTTTTATTTAAACGAATATAAATTATAAAATCAAATATAATTTATTTATTAAAGGGTTAATCTCATTTTATACCTTAAAAGATTGTTTAAATCTCAATTTGTACCCCAAAGATTAAAAATCTCAATTTACACTCTCAAAGATAGAAATTTGTATCAATGTGCATCCCCAAAGATAAAAAATCTCAATTTACACCATCAAAGATAGAAATTTGTATTAATGTGCACCTAAAATTAAATTAATAAATTATATCTAAATCCCCTCATGTTTGTCACTTAATCATTTGAACTCCTTCACATTTAGAATATTTCTCTTACATCTCATGACGTTTGTGCATGTGTAACACATAACCACTTTTCGTTGATATCTGTTAATATAATCGTTAAAAAATATGATTTTATCCTAATAAAAAATTATAATTTCATATTACCTTTTATTTTGTGGATTCGATATACTCTAAAGTTGAAAATCAAGCTTACTATTCGAATGTCTAATAAAATGTAGATATTTATATAAAAGGTAATATGAAAAAATATTATATAAATTTTTACATTTTATTAGACATTCAAATGATAAACTAGATTTTGAACTTTAGAATATATTGAACCCATAAAATAAAGGGTAATATGAAATTATAATTTTTTATTAGGATAAAATTATATTTTTAACGGTTATATTAATAGATATCAATGAAAATGGGTTACGTGTTATACGTGCACAAATGTCATAAGATGTAGGAGTAATATTCTAAATGTGAAGAGGTCTAAATGATTAAGTGACAAGTATAAGGGGATCTAGGTATAATTTATCAATTTAGTTTTAGGTGTACATTGATACAAATTTCTATCTTTGAGGGTGCAAATTGAGATTTTTTATCTTTGAGGTGCACATTGATATAAAATTATATCTTTGAGGGTATAAATTGAGATTTTTGATCTTTGGGGGTGCACATTGATACAAATTTCTATCTTTGAGGGTGTAAATTGAGATTTTTGATCTTTGAGAGTGCAAATTGAGATTTGAACAATTTTTTGGAGTGTAAAATGAGATTAACCCTTTATTAAATGAGTTACACGACACCACCTGTGTTACCTACTAATTCTACAACACAAAAAAAATTCTAATTAAAACCCTTAATTTTGCAATGAATTGGCTGATGTAATCGAGTGATAACCAGGTAATTGGGAGGTAAATGGGTACTTTAGTAATATAACAATTTATTAAATGGGTGATAAACGAGTTAAAATACTTCATCTGAGCCTTACTCATTTATTCTTCGAATTAAATAGGTCCATCTTTTTACCACTTAAACCTGTTAGGATCAAATTCATACCCATTATATTCATGTCAACTTGTATTGTATAATTAGATCGTGTTAAATTTTGCTAAGTCTAATCGATAGTAGTCAACTGTTGAGATTATTAATGTTCTGTTTGATATGATGAAAAAATAAAGAGTAATGTTATATAGACTTAAAAATTAGATTTAAAAATTAGACTTAATAATCTCAACTATTAAATAGGTAGTAGGTTCCAATAATTACTGGGACCCACAGTGAAATTCAATGATTGAGATTATCAAGTTTATTTTTTAAGTCTACTTTTTAAGTTCATGTAGCATTGCGCAAAAATAAAAGGATGAAAAGTTAGAGGGATAAATAAAATATCATATTTGGTAAGGAAGAAAAATATGAAGGATGGAAAAGTAGATGAATTAAATTTTTTTCTAACTCACCAAAATCAATCCTTTCAAAATCTGAAGGAAAGTAAATGGAAAGTTAATTATTTGTGTTAAGATGTATCTTATTTATATATATATATTTTAAATATGTGCTTATATATATATATATATATATATATATATATATATATTAAAAAATTTTAAAATTAAAAAATAAATTAAAAAATAAAATTTTTAAATTAAAAAAAATATTTTTTCCATCTTAACAAGGGGTGAAAATTTTCGACTCAACACGAGGATACGACTCAAACTCGATACGAATTTTATGACACGAACTTGAAATAATCTGACATGCGAACACAAAAAATAAAAAGTTCATATTCAGTTCAAACAGTCAAACTCAAAATTGATACCATTAACCCGTTTATATGAAAATAAACACTTTCTTTATTTTCTTGGTTGTATGATAATGCAAAATTAATACGAAACTAACATGTTTAACTAGTATTATAAATATAAAATGTTAACTATTTATTAAGCATTGACATAATTATTATATAAAAAATATATTTTTATTTATTATTATTATATTTATTTAAGTTAATTTTTATTTTGTAAAAAAAATATTAACATGGATTCAATTAAGTGAAAATAAAATATTAGCGTTAAATTTTTTATTCAAAGTTTATGTAGGTCAACACTAATACGAACACAAACACTACACGAAAATAAACAAGTCAACTCGTAACTCGACACTACACAATTAGTTAAAATGAGTTGAGTTAGATTTGATTAATATTTGACACAAACCATAATGACTCAACACGAATCTAACACGACACGACTTGATTGTCACCCCTAATCTTATTCAGCACAAAAAAAATAAAAATTAGTCATTTTTATTTTTTATCCATAAAAAAAATGAAGAAAAATGTATTATTTCTACTTTCTATCTTCTTGAAGGATAAGAATTTTATCCTTTTTACTTTTCATCTTTCATGTTTTCCATCATTCCTACCAGACGAAACATAAGACTGTACCGTAAAATTATTCAATTATGACTTCAAGCATTAGGAAAGTGGTGAAGTTAAGATAATTGAAAAAAAAACATTTAAAGGAATCCATACATTTAAGAAGGGAGGCTCCCACTGGAATTAAGAAATTATTTATAATTAATGAAATTATTTCCCAATCTATCTATTTATATAAAATAAACAAATTAGAGAGGAGAAGGTTTGAAAATCTTTCCCTCCATATTTCCCAAAATTTTTAGAGTTTTATTTTTGTAATTACCATACTATGCATTCCTCAATCATATATTTATCATGTATCTTTTGTAATCATTTATCAACTCCCCACTAACTATCCACTATTTTTTCAAATTTATTTGCATAAAATTATTTTTACTATTCAATAATTTAGTATCATTCTTTTTATCTACCCTCTTAAGTGATGAGGTGAAAAAAAAAAAGAAGATAATCTCATGTATTGCATGAGGCTCGGACGCTAGTGTGTGTATTTATATATATATATATATATATATATATATATATATAAAACAAATAAATTAGAGATCGAAGATTTAGGAAGCCTTTCCTTCTCATTTTTTTTAATTCTTATAGTTTTAATTTTTTTTAATTTTCTAATTAAGATTTCCTACCGTTACATTCTATCATGTTTCTTTTGTAACAATCACTCAATTTCCTACTAACTATTTTCCAAATTCTATTCAAATAAATCTATTTTTACTATCCAATAACTGTTTATCTAACTTCTTAAAATGATAGAATTAAAAAAGGGAATGAAATAAGAAAACCAAATACAAAATGACAAATTATATATATTTTGTATTGTATAGCTGTTAGTATCTAAATAGAACAATATTATTTAAATTTAATTTATTGATTTAAGTTATTAATTTAATAAAGTACGAATTATAATTGAATAACCTAATTAATCAACGTCATTGAATTAAGTACTGAGTTTCAGTATTTAATACCTATGATTTATTAAATTAATAAATAAATTCAATAAATTATGTCGAAAGATTTGTCTTCTCTAAATACACGCAAGGGAAAAGAAACAGTTAACGAAATTGAAAGAGTGAGAGCGCGTGGCGTTGGAACAAGGGCAAGCCATATCAAATTCTTCGTACCTCCGGAGGAAGTAGCATTTTTCTGTATATCGATCTGCTGAATCTCTCTCTCTCCGTCATAAGCAAATCAACGTTGTGCCATAACCACTTCCCGGCAGAGCCCAGTGTCAATATCCGTAAATAACCAACAAAACCCGTGTCTTTTTCACACTCTTTTTCCAATACTAACTGCCACGACCCTCCACCCCTTCGCACTACAAACGCCACCTTCCCAACCTGCACTACATAAACAAAGCAAAACATTGCTCTCTCTCTCTCTCTATATATATATATATAATCACGATTTGTGGATCTTTGAGGAGCTTTGTGTTGGTTCAAAGGATGGGCAATGCGAACGGCAGAGAAGACGGAGCTAATGGCGTGGTCGGAGACGATCCAGATGGAAGATCGAACGGTGAATCAGGTCAACGTGACAACTACGCGCCGAACTGGCATGCTCCGGGGCGCGTTGTTTCCTCAGATTCAATGGCCAATACTCCTCCTGCAAGCCCCGGTCGCTCTCGATCTCCTCTTTTGTTCGCTCCTCAGGTAGATTTTTACTCTCCCTCTCGCCCCTACCTCAAAGTTTGTTACCAATTTGGTTTCGTCATTTTTGTTCCCTTTGCGTTGAAAGATCGTTATCTAGTTTGGTTCCCGTGGGTCAATGGTACTCGAGTAGTGGGAATGAATGAACTTATGCATGATACACAAACCATATATAAATGGATAAGTGTGCTTGGGTATACATGTATCTGTTGTATGGTTATCTTTTGGTTGATGTTATGAGTTATTCGTAATAAATCATGGACTTGTGGATGCATATATCTATTTGTATGCACGTAGTCATACCCGCTTGTATCTTGGATTTTTTTTTTTTTTGGGGGGGGGGGGGGGGGATAGGGTGGTTTGACTGTGTATGTGTTAGTGTGTTGTCGAGGGGCTATTACCTAGTGTATTGCTTTTGCATTTTTTCAACTGTAAAACTGTCTGTCCAACGGTGACGCGGTAAATCAAACACGAGAACAGCTATTTTTTGAATGTCAATTGGGGAATTTAGGAGTCGATGTGTATGACTAAGAAGAAAGTACCCATTTTGGAATGTGACAAGGTAAGCTTAGCTCTTGTTTTGATATACTTTTATCTTTTGTATGAGACAAAGCATTAGAAATAATGTGCCAGAATGCTAGTTGTATTAAGGATGAGAGCAGTTTGTAGTTAAATGCAAACACTGAGGATTGGATTTGTAATAGTAATAGTAAAGATGCAGATGTCCTTTTTGGAAGTTAACAGTCCAGTATACTCAAATGGTTGACCACACTGTGTAAAAAGGAATATATAAAAGTAAAGGAGGAATTGAAATTACTAACAATGGGAAAGAAATTACTTTTAAGGTTGTTGGAGTAGAGTATAGTTTAGTTTATTAAGATTTTTTTTCCTATTTTACCCTTACTATAACTTTTATATTTTGCTTAGACCATAAGGATGTTTATGTCACTTTGTATTATTATTTGACTATATATACGAGGTTCTACTCTTAGTTTGAGTATCTCTTTTTCACTCACGTCTATCTCAAGTTGGTATCAGAGCCACCAACTCTAACTCTAACCCTAGCCTCCGCCAAACATCGCAATTAGCAAGGCGACAACCTCCACCTAAATCACCGTCTGCCTACTAGCAGCCATCTTACCACAATCACCCATAGCCTGCATCAACCCAACCGACTGACAACACTTAGCGAAACAAAACCAACCTGCACCGACTGAGAATACCCACCAAGTCCCAGCCAACAGCCTGTCGACAAACTGGCCATCCTTCCCTCACTGACAACAACAACAGACCTACAATGACAGCCCCACAGTACCCGACGAACCCACTCAACTCCAGACTAGTCGACTGCCCAAAACCAACCGACTGCCTCCATTCCATCTACTAGCGAACCATATACAAACTAAATAGTAGCACTGGCCAGTCTAAACAGCATTGACATATACAACCTAAAAAGCTAACACCGACCACTCTGCCAACCAGTCTGCCAAAAACAACCCAGACCAGACCTAAATAGCCCAAACAAACCTGACTGCCTCTTTATTATACCAATGACAAACCCAGCCCATTAAACATATACCAAACCAGCTCACTATTCAACCAAACTCTATACAACCCATAACCCAACGAACTCAAAAAATAGCAACCCAAGTCAAGACCAGCCTAGCCTACTATTGGGTCACTCATCAACCCACTGCCGGGTCGCATTTTTTCGTTGTAACTTCGTCGTTTGCAGTCTTTGTCAGAGTGTTGTCAGGTTGCAGTAACTAGGACTGTTTTAAGAGGGGTTGCATTCTCTTTTCGGTTGATATGCTCTTGATGCAGTAGATTATTTATTTCTATTTTCTGAATTTCTAGGCACCTTGACCTGATTATTTGGGAGCTTTTTGGACTTTCTTTATTTGTCGTTATTGTTCGACTGGAAGTATATTGTTTTCCCTTATTTTATCCTTCTATTTATTTTAGAATTATTTTTCTGTCACGGGTGCTCTAGTATTGTTGTTGATATGACTACTACTGAGGGACTTGAGACCCTTACTGTTGACATCTCTACCATTGAGACCTCTGTTGGTACTTTCACTTTTATGTTTAACCAGTATGCAATACTTACTGGCACAGTTACATTACCAGTACTACCGAGCATGATCTCTCAGAAACTTACGGCACAGTTATTGAATAGCCGTAATTTCGCTGAGTGGTCTTGCTCATTCCAGCTTTTCTTAGGCCGTGTAGGGAAGCTTGGTTGACTGACGGGATCTCATCCAAAGCCAGCTGATGCTGACCCTGGATATTCTGTGTGGTTCTCTAAGAACTGTGCCATTCTTGGATGGTTATTTGGCTCGATGGAGCCATCTGTTTGCAAGATTCACCAGTTTCATAGCTCTGTTTCGAAGTTATGAAGCGCATTATCAGAGATGTATTCCCAGTCAGGACGGGGAGTTCGTGTTTATGAGCTTTCTTAAGAGCTTTCATATGCACGGCAAGGAGATATGACCGTTCAGGATTATTATGACTATTTAATCTAGCGTTGGCTTGAGTATGAGACTCTACGTCCTCTTGCTGCTATTTCAAGAATAGAGCCCGAGAGAGCAGCATTCTTGCATATTCGAGAGTAGGAGGATAGAATTCACAAATTCCTTATGGGATTTCGTAATGAGTTTGAGGGACCTCGTTCCCAGATCTTGTTGACGCTGAGCCTTCTGTCCCTTTATGAGGTGTATGCGATGATTGAGCAGCATGAGCACCGTGTCCGTATTGCATCACTCGCAGTTGCGACCTTGACTCCTCAGGCCGACCAGATGGCCTTTGTTGCTGCTACAGGGTCTCGTTCAGGACCTTCAGCTAGGGGTGGACAACGCTTGGACCAGTGCTGTCAGGGTGTCTTAGATCAACGTAGATAGGGAATTCTTGTCGGTGTGATTATTGTGGCCAACTAGGACATCTCAGGACTACTTGTTGGAAGCTCCATCTGGAGCTTAAGCTACCTCCTCGTAGCCGTACTACTGCCATTACTAAAGCACCGCCATCTGCAGCCGTTGCTTCTACTATTACTGCTGCTGCTGCTCCTTGCCAGAGTGATATGGATGTTATAACTTTTCGCTTGAATATACTTATGTTCGCTCAGACTTCTCAGAGTCCGACTATTGCTACTGTCACTACTACAGGTATACCTCGTGCCTTTCATGCTTATGTCAGTCCGTCTCCCATTTGGATGTTGGACTCGAGTATGAATGGTCACATGACAGGTGAAACTATCACTTTACCATTTTTTGCGAGTAATTATATACACAGGTTCAGCTAGCATATGGGACACATGCTCCTATTGTTAGTAGGGGTACAGTCCGCCTCCCAAATGACTTTACATTACGTTCGGTTTTTTATTCGTCAAAGTTGGCCATGAATCTATTATTTGTACATCAGTTAGATAGAGATTTTTACTATGCGGTTGTGTTCTTATCTGATTAGTGTTATTTGCAGGACCTGAGTACTAGGAGGATTATTATTAAGGGACATAAGAGAGATGGACTATATTATCTAGGCGATCCACCTTTAGTTTTATCAGTTTCTCCACCTACATCACCTGCACATGTTTTGTCTTTATCTGTTCCCAGCTTGCATACTAGTATTTTACCTAATAGTTGTCGTTATGATATTTTGTCACAAACTATTCAGTTATGGCATGACCGTTTTAGGCATACAAATTTATGTATGTTGTTTCCTGCTTCGAGCAATGCTTGTGTTGGTGGTAAACTTGACTGTGTTATATGTTCCTGTCGAAACATGTTAAGACCAGTTATATTCCTCGAATGTATCAGTCACCCAAGCCATTTGACTAATACACTCTGATATTTGGGGACCCTCTCTACTTATTGCTCTGTCAGGTGCTCGATACTATGTGACATTTATAGATGACCATACCCGTTGTACTTGGGTCTATCTTTTGCATAGGAAGTTCGATGTACTCTTTATAATCACTTAGTTTCTCCATATGATTAAGACACAATTCGATGTCATTGTTCGTGCCCTTCGTTCGGATAATGCCAAAGAATATGTGTCTGATGCCTTAGTGTCTCACCTTTCTTCTTAGGGTATTATTCAGCAACTCACTTGTCCATATACTCCCGAGTAAAATGACATTGCTAAAAGGAAAAATAGGAGTCTGATGGGGATGGTATGTTATATGCTTAGAGGCATGGGGTACCAAAATCTTATTGACATTTTGTTGTTTTGACTTTTATCTTTCTATGTAATCATACACTGAGTCATGTTCTTTAGCATATGGCACCCTTACAGGTCTTATTCCATAAGTGGACACTTTTTTCGGTCCCCCCTCGTGTTTTTGGATGAACATATCTTGTTTAAGATCGGTCTCCTACTTATCATAAGCTTGATGATAAAGCGATTTGTTGTGTCTTTGTGGGCTATTGTCATCAGTTTAAGGGGTATCAGTGTTATGATCCTATTAGGTGTCGTATGTATCACAGTCTAGATGTTACCTTTCTTGAGTATATTCCTTATTTTTTTTTCAGTCCTGTGTCTGTCCCCCTAGTTGATAATATTCTCTTTGATTTTTCATTACCATAGGAGCCAGAGCCATTGATCACTATCCCTACAGAGTCGTCTGTCTCTCCTTCTCTGGAGCCACTCATCCCTATCAGTACAGAGTCACCAGTTTTTCTTTTGCAGGTTTATGTTCGTCGTCCTCACTCTCATCCCCCTGCTGATATCCCCTCTACCTCAGGTGATGCAGGTAATACTTCTCAGTTCATTGAACATATTGATGCACCAGTTGTTAGTACTGATGAGATTACAGGTACTGAGTCAATTACTTTATCGAATGAGACATTGTCAGTGGAGGACGATGATTTAGGGCGTCGTTATTCGCGGTGTGATCGCCGTCCAGTTGTTTGTTATGGTTGGACTGCTAGGACTTTATATCTGATCTCTACTTATGTTTCTTGTGATGATTTGTCTCCTGTATTTCGAGTTTATAGTATGGTCTTATCAGATGCACTAGTTCCTCGCTCTGTTTTAGAGGCTAGACGGGAGCCCCAGTGGGTTATTGCCATGCAGACGGAGGTGGACGCTCAGCGTAATCATACGTGGAATTTTGTCTCTTTATCTTCAGGAGTGAAGCCTGTTGGCTGTCGCTGGATTTACACCCTAAAGTTTCTTGCGGATGGAACTATTGATCGTCACAAGGCTAGTCTTGTGGCGAAGGACTTTATTCAGGTACCAGATTATGATTTTGGTGCTACCTTTGCACCCGTAGCAAAATTGACTATTGTTCGATTGATTATTTCTCTGGCTACGGAATACTCTTGTTCTCTTCATCAGTTGGATGCGAAGAATGCATTTATTCACGGTGATTTGGACTAGATTATTTATATAGATGCACCACCAGACTTCCATGGTGAGGGGAAATATGCTGGAAAGGTATGTCGACTGCGTAAGCTTCTTTATAGATTGAAACAGTAACCACGAGCCTGGTTCTCTCGCTTTAGTGGTGTAGTTATACGTTTAGGGTTCTCCAAATATTATTCTGATTATACCTGCTTCATTCGACATAATACTTTTGGACAGTGTGTCATTATTTTGGTATATATTTATGATATTATTATTACTGAAGATGATATTTCTGGGACTGCGTAGGTCATGATAGACCTTGGGAAGGCTTTCGATGTGAAGGACCCTAGATTTCTGTGATACTTTCTTGGGATTGAGGTTGTCCGTAATAGTAGAGGTATTGTTCTTTCTTAGAGAAAGTAAGCTCTAGATCTTCTCTCAGACACTGAGATGTTGGGGTGCAAACCGGCATCATCACGCATGATTCCAAACCTAAAGCTTACTACTGAAGGTGAGTAGTTGAGAGATCCGACTGTCTATAAGAGGTTGGTATCTACCTAGTCAACACTAGGCCATACATTTTATTCGTTGTCAGCCGAGTTAGTCAGTTTATGCACAGGTCGTGTTAGCCTCATCTTAATGCAGTTTATCATATTCTTCGGTAGTTCAAGTCTTGTCCTGGACTTGGGTTGTTCTATGCATCAAGAACTCAGATTGGTTCTCCAGTATGTTATTCAGATTAAGATTACGGGGGAGCATGTGACGGTCGATCTACTACGGGCTTTTGTACTTTTCGAGGGACTCATCTTATCTCTTAGAAGAGCAAGAAACAGGCAGTTGTCTCTCATTCGTCAGCAGAGGCAGAATATCTGGCACTGGCACGGGCACTTGGCACATGTGAGATTATCTGGTTACGATCGATTCTTGACGAGTTAGAATTTTCAGTGATTTCTTCATCTATATTATATTGTGATAATCGATTTGCTAATCAACTTGCTTTTGACTTTGTATTACACGAGAAGACGAAGCATATAGAGATCGATGTTCACTTTCTTTGGGAGAAGGTTCGTTGTGGTATTGTCACTCTATTGTTTGTAGGGACCAATGATCAGGCTGCGGATGTTTTCACTAAACCTGTCACTCTATCCATTCTTTGGGACTCAGTTGTCAAGTTTGACTTAGTTGATATTTTTGCGCTTAGCTTGAGGGAGAGTGTTGGAGTATAGTCTAGTCTATTAGGATTTCTTTTCCCTTTTTTGCCCTTACTATGACTTTTATATTTTGCCTAAACTACAAGGATGTTTAAGTCATTTTGTATTATTATTTGACTATATATATAGGGCTCTACTCTTAGTTTGAGTATCTCTTTTTCACTCACATCTATCTCAAGTAAGGTTATTAGTGAAAGATGTCGCAATTAGGTGTTACTTTATGATGTGGCTTATTCTGTGGGAGTTATAGAAATTAGTTCAACTTTTGTCGATACTTGCTATGTAGTTGAAGAATTTTTTGTTGGTTAGTTGGCGAAGGCGACATGGGTCAATCATTTTATGTTAGCATACTTGGCTGAATGAATGAGATGTTCTAAAAGGTTGCAGTCCTTTATTCATGTCTGCAACTTGGCACTCTAGTAAAATGGCTAAAATGTGAAACATGATGTTCTCTATTCATTCTGCATTATTGGAGACCTCCTTATCTTTGTTCTTGTTGTCCATTAGATCTTAGATATTTTTAATCCTTTTAAGGCAACTTTTTTGGGCAAGTCTTTTAGTACAACTTACTGCCTGATATAGTAACTGCTTTGGAGGGTTACCGAATCCAAATATTAATTGCCAAAGGAACTTTCAACCTTCAGCCACATGGCTAGATTGCGTCATTATAAATGTTTTCCCTAAACTCAGATGTTAACAAACATTCAGGTTCCACGTCAACTTTTGTTGCGTTGCAGCAATAACACGAAAGATGCAACAGAGTAACAACTACCTTCCTATGGTCAGAAATATGTTTGGGACATTGTGCTGCAGGTTTAGATGCTTTAAAGTAGTGAATGATAGATAGACATATTGGCCATGCTTGTCACCAGAGTATCATTGAATTCTTGTTTGTTTGGCACTTGATGACTTTAGGTTCATTAGGTTTTAAGTTGCCATGGACCATATTATGACAGCTGTCTTTTGATTGTTCTAAATTCTGCTCTGACCTAATTTGCATTTGGCACTAGCCCAAAAATACCTATTAAGTAGTCAAAATAAATTGTTGATGAGAAAAGCTCATATGTTCACTCGAAATGTCATTGGTAATAAAATAGGAAAATGTTAAAAATTATCTATTTGATAATTGAACTTCACTGTAAGTCTATTGTTACTAATTTGTGCACAGCCCTAACATGAGGGAGCTTCAACCTCTAAATTTTGTATCTAGTCCTGGTCTTAGTGGCCCTCCTCTTGCTTCCAGCTATTTTGGCCCCCGTCTCCTCTTATCACTTTTTGATGTTTTCCTGGGAAGCCTTCTTCTCATTCTGAAACTTCATCCACTGTTTATGTCATCTTGTGGCCTTTGGTACTTAGGCAAATATACACCCTGATTCCATTGAGAAGTTTTAAAATATCGTATTGAGAATATCATGAAATCAGAGGATAAAAGAAAATGAATCACTTGAGGAATTAATAACTTACAGTCACCTGAGTGATTCTAGGCCTATCCTCTGGGATCCTATGTATCATGATTAGCATCGAGGTGGTACAGCTCTCATTAAAAGTATGCTGCAGAAGGTTGAGTTTCCTTTTTGTGTCATATGAGTTGTCACAAGCTGTAGATGACATCTTGATGTGATGGTGGAGTGTACCTATGCACGTCAACTTTTATACTTCATAAGCTCTGGGATAGGACAACCGTATGGGTTCTTCTGCGTTATTTCAGCTTGTAATATTATTATTTAAAAAGAAAAGCGAAAAAAAATTTGGTATGCAGTCAGAATATTGAGTTCCTTTTTCCGTCACTTTTCCCTTTTTCCCGCAAATGTCATTTGAAAGTACTTTGTGCACTAAGAGTCTAAGACTATTGATATATTGTGCAATGTAGTCATAAATTGGCAGAATGGTTCCTAGTTGTAGATATGTTGTACATTTTTCAGCTAAACTCCTGCTTGTCGTTCATTGTCTTCTCTTCTTTACTTTCTATTCTCAAGCTACTTGATGTGGAGAAAGTTGACTTAGAGGAGAAGAACATTAGCTATTTTATTGTCCTTGTCTAATAAGTTCTTGGCTTAATACGAGTGTCAAATTCATTCATTTAGATTAATAACTGTTAAAATAAGTTTTGCTAAAGGGTAGCTTTGTATTTCCTACTTTCAGGGAAAAACTTTTCTACTTTCTGGTGTTATTCGTAGGCTTTGGCCCCCGTATCTTATATCAGGTCTATTTTTGTAACTGTGTTATATAAGTATATTTGCATAGTGTTCGGTACTCCACATTTGTATTCTTTTTGCTGCAAAACATTACTTTCCTCATAGTTTAATTGGCTAAGTCTCCCTAGTTTGTTTATGATATGTTTTGGGTAGATTCAACATTGCATTGGAGGTTTAATCGTAGGAATTATGGCTGGAAGTCCTAATCTGTGTAATGTTACCTGAAATGGTTGTTTCTATGTTTGATGGGATTCCCGGAGAAAAGCATCTTCTTCTCCATCTCCTCCTGTCTTCATATATTTTTAACTCACTCTGATTTATTGTTCATACTCCCTATTTCAACCCTAAATCTTCACCACATCCAATCCAAACTATAGTCTGATCCCCTTTCTATGACCTTTGATTCGTCACCCAAACACAGTAATTTGCTACTGTCTTTTTCTTTTATTGAATTGATCCTTATCAAAACAAAATTCACTTGATTGATACATGTACACCCGACATAGATTCAAGATATTTCATCGAATCATGTGATGAAGAGATTCTACTTGTCCCCCGAACTAAATTATGAGAGAAAAAAGAATTTTCATTAACTTCTTTTGATCCCTCTTCCCAGATTTATATCTCATCTTAACATTACCAATGAATGAAATTCCAGAACACTAATTTCTGCAGTTTCAACAACTAACTCTTTCTTAATCCAGTAAATTCAGACACTTTCTCATCCCTAAAACCTAAAACCACTCATCGCCGTTTAAATCCACATGCTTTTCTCAACCTATCATTTTCAGTAACAATGCTTGTAGCCTGTAGGAGTGTTTCCCCATAGATTAATCCTGGACATCCTGAAAGTTTTTGTACTGTACTTGTCCAGTACAGATACGGGGTTGCATCCACAGCTTTACCTGGTACCAACCTATGAAGAAAATATCCAAGCAGACTGCATGGTGTGAATATTGGTGATGTATGGTTTCCCGGGAACCTATTTGATTGAATCCTGTGTTGTGATTTATGAGTTGTCATCATCCAGAAATTTCCAGGAAAACCCCTGTAATATTATACAAAATGGCATTGTCACATCATGACAGGCATGGTGGAATCTGTTAGCTGTGTCTTTTAGTATTTTTTCACACATAACTTGATAGTGGAGTATGGACATCCTCTTAATCACCAAAGACAATATAAAATTGAGGTCTGTACAGAGATGTAAATACCATTTAGTTAGCCATATTGACAGATCTGGAATCATTTATCATCCCAGGTAAGACAAAATGGAACAACAGAGATTTTAGATGGTGAATTTCTCTCGTATAGCGAGGTATCTGGAGCAATTAAATTGTTTGTCTGAATATTAATGATTTTGTTGTTGAGTCTCGAGTTTGCCTTCAGTCTGAAGACTCTGAACACGGTGTATAATCATCTTATATACTGCTTGTCTAATTTTGGGGACGCCTCGTAAAACTTGTCCACTCTGACAAGTGAATTTAGAAATTTTATAGTTCTTGTAAATTATATTGTTGGAGTTCTTTTCACTGGAATTTGAATAGAATATGTCACATGTCTTCTTAAAAATTAAACTTTCTAAAGAATCTAGGTTTGAGGGAGTATAAGCTTCAGTAGAAATTTTCATTTCCTGTTGGTTGCTATCTTCATAGTTGCACCTCATTTTCTGACTTTTGAGGATGGTTCAGTGGTCACTAGGATTATGATTGTTTATTCACTAAAATAAGCTGGAGCAAGCTGAGATTTTTCCCCTTTGGGTGATTTAGTCCTTACTTTAGAATTCACTGACTAGCTGCAATGGTCCTGTGACCGGTGAGATACTGTGGACTGTCTGCTTGGTTTGTACTTGCTATTAAGCTGTAACTCCTGAATGGTAGCTTGCCAAATTACGTACCTGACATATTTTGTTCATTTCCAGGTTCCTGTAGCTCCTCTGCAGGGGAGTGATGGCCCGCCCTTTTTCAATCAGACTTGGCAGAATGAATCTCCTGGGATTGCTGACCTTCCTCCTGATCGAGGAATACCTACTTTGATAACATGGAATTATGGTGGTAATGATGTGGCTGTGGAGGGATCCTGGGACAACTGGAGGTCAAGGTGAATTCTAGTAAATCTTTTTTTCCCCTGATAACTAACAATCTTTATTGGGAAAAGGAAAATTTAAAGAGTATAATGCAAGGATACATGGAGGACAAGACTTCTTACCGAAAATTCCAAAAAACAACATAAGTGAAAAACTAGATCAAAAGTCTCCCTGATAATGACTCTACAATTCACCTAAAGGTCTCTTATCTGCCAGCATGCAAGAGAGAGGAAATGTCCCAAAAATGCAAGCCCAACTAGGTTCAAGACTATCACTTACACAATTTGCCCCACCAATAAAAGGCCCAATATCACTAAAACGTTTCGTTGAAGAAAAGTTTAAAATCAGGCCCAACTTAGAGTCTACATCCACTCCCTGCCATTATTAACATTAATATTATCAATTTTCCAACTTTTAGATTACATATATGTACAGAACTAATTGTATCATGAAATAAAGGTGAAACGTATTTTGTCCTGCTAATAATCTCATTGTGCATGGAATGAATGAAATAATAATGAAGTAATTATATTTATTTGCAGGAAGCCACTGCAAAGATCAGGTAAGGATCACTCCATTCTCTTGGTCCTGCCATCGGGCATATACCATTACAAGTTCATTGTGGATGGTGAATTGAGATATATCCCAGATCTTCCTTCCACAGCTAACGAAATGGGTCATGCTTGTAATCTTCTTGATGTCCATGTAAGTGTATCAATAACTGTGTGATCTGTCACAATTGTTAGAATTTCAACTTGTCACACAACACACATTTATTAGTGTGTATTGTGGGAGGGAGAAAGAGGTGATTTTCCTCTTTTTCAGCTATTTTTTCTATTTTTCCAAATTGTTCCATGTCTTACCACAATAGAGAGATTCTAATTATTTGGTCACAAGGAACGTGTTCTTTCTAGAATTTTTAAGAGACCCGATATTGAGGATGTTTCATACCAATCCATGTGCATGCACATCAGTCTCTGTATCACATTGACCTGCTTGCCACAAATGAGAATGGAAGTCATACTCTCTCTTTCCTTTTTCTTTCCTTTTGTACTCCTTGTTTTTTTTTTGAGCTGGGTAGGGCTAGGACTACCTGCATGTTAATAGGTGAATATATCATTAAAACTTCTGCGAGGATCTGAAACTAGGTCTTTGGCATAATATGGAAGAGAGTTTACCAACTTAAATAGTCGGTGCTAATCTAAAAAACTCACCTATGCACATAGGGAAGGGCTTGGCACTGTCAAATGCTAATTTGGGGTCTCATACAGGCATGCGGTAAGCTATGGGGAGCAACACATGGGCAGCTGGCTTATTTTAAGTTGGTCTTTTTTGTTATACATCTGTATTCAATAACATCTATTGATTGATGTTTTCTTCATGTAAGCGGAACAGTTCATTGATCTAGTATTGGAAACAATTACTGTTTTTTTTTTCTTTTTTGGGTAAATAAATAAGAAACAATTACAGTTTTAACTGTTACGTTTTTTTAAACATTTATTAAGGAAGATGTCTAGGTGCTTAGTTTAGTACCTAAATTGGCCTTCATATTATTGCAACCTCTGCTGTGATTTTCAGAAAGATATCTTATATTCATGGATATAGTTTGTTAACAAAACCTGCTGCTTAGCCAACGTTATGAGGCATGTGTTTTCTTGTTGCTTAGCCAACGTTATACATACACCTATAATTCAGCCCCCATACGGTGTCTCATGCATATATAGGTATTTCCTTTTTTTTTTGGGAGGTGTGGTTGGGTGTGTTAGCGGCATGTTAGCAGTTGCATATATAAATAGGTATTGCACATGTGCATGGTACAGGTATGCAAGCATAAATTAGTTTATACTTGTATATGTTCTCGATAATATCTTACTCTTAGAAAGTGAAAGAATAGAAAATTGCTTTCATATTTGGCTATCATTTGATAATTTACTTCGATTTGGGTAGTTTATCTCAACTTCTCGTCAAACTTATTTGTATATCTTTTGCAGGATTATGTACCAGAGAACCTTGAAAGTGTGGGAGAGTTTGAGGCCCCACCATCTCCAGACTCCAGCTATAGTCAAGTTTTCCCAGCTGAGGAAGACTTTGCAAAGGAGCCAGTGGTAGTTCCACCTCAGCTCCATCTAACTGTTCTTGGTCCTGAGAACTCAGATGAAGCCTCCTCTTCTTCAAAACCACAGCATGTGGTGCTTAACCACCTTTTTATAGAGAAAGGATGGGCATCCCAATCTGTGGTTGCTCTAGGTCTCAGCCATAGATTCCAGTCGAAGTATGTAACTGTTGTCCTCTATAAGCCGCTCCAAAGGTGACCACTTCTTTTACATGCTAAACTCTATAAAAGATAAAGTCTGCTTTTGAACTCAGTTTTGTGAATGCACCTGTGAATAGAACTGCTCAAGGTTTAACTTCAATACATCTGTATTCTGTTGTACATACTGTACTCTAAATTTTTAAGCATTTCAATGGTTGGAAATCTTTGTCCTTACTCCAACTAACTAGAAAGTTTACTAGTATACTGCTGTGACATGAAGAACAGATCAAACATGAGGAAGGTAAGAACACAAGTACGTGAACATCACGACATGCACATAGTTCTCTATTCATGTGGGAGAAAACCAAAGCAGTGATCTTCATCTTCTTGTTGGCTACATTCCCATATTTTAATGGTTCAGACTGCATTATTTTGTTTCAATCTTTTACGATAAGAGTATTCCTCCCAAGTTTTCCATGCATTGTCTTCGACTTCATATACCTCATTCTCTCATTCCCTCCTCCATTTTTTTCCCTAGCCACCTTGGTACCCCATGATTCCGAATGTGCAGGGCTTCAAGTTGTTGACCTGTGTTTCTTGTGCACTGCAACTACCGGTGGCGGTCCCGTTTCATTTCTTGATGGAGATCATGGTACAGTGTGGCTTCTTTGCGTGTGTTGGCAAAAAAGTTTTAGTTACATCATCAATTTTCGAAATGATCTGTAATCTTTTGAAGTAAGAAGTCGCATTGAATAAAACTATGAAACTGTATTCAATCCAGATACAAATATAAAGCATTACATTTTATTAGTCCAAGACTACCTGAGCTCTTGGTTTATATAATGCTCCTATTTATTCTCAAATTCTTCACCCTTCATGTGAACAACACACATGGGGGGGTATATTCTTATACCACTTACAAGATGTTCCAAAAGCTTATTGCTTAGTTCTACACTTCTGAAAATGTTTTCCTTTTTTTCTTTTCTCTCTCTCTCTCTCTGTCTCTCACCTAAGGCATACTACCAACCTAATTCCATCCCTTGTACTTGAGCCCAGTCCGAGCTGTGATCTCCGACAGGCAATACCTCCTGTAAGAAGTGACTAAAGAAAAACACAGTCACGAACTCGCTTACCTTTCTTTCTGCCGTTGGGTTTGCCATTTTTTGTGTCCACCCTATTTGGTCTCCTCTCTTGAACCCTCCTATTCCTCCTCCTGTAATTGAAAACAAGTAATAATGATACTATAATCTAATCTCATGAAATGTCATAAAAACACTCCAAATTTAAAAATCTTGACCGACCAGGGACACTCCGATCTTAGTTCTAGTATTATGACTAAAGAGAGCTGGAGATCAAGATTTCAAAATTAAAATAAACATAATTCATCTTAGCTAAATGATATTTTTAATGATAATAACGTTAGTTTTATTTTGTAACCCCCTTTCCATAAGCTTAAATCCAGGAAAAGTTAACTTAATAATAAATGAAAAACAAGCAGTTTTCTCTAATTCACTAAATGGCCTTATACATTATCATGACTTTAGGTGGTCTATCATTTAAAGGGATGACAAAAAATGCTATCACACTCGTTAATCTAGGGCAACCATGAGGATCAACTGCTAACTTCCTTGCAGATAGTCCAATTAATTCCTACCCACTAGGTAGGTTTGCATACTCCAAACACCATCGCTATGTTTTACCACAATCACTGACTCTTTATAATTCATCAATTCTAAAGCCCAAAACGATATATGAAATCTAATATGTTTGGGTTTTATCAACTAACTTTTACTTTTTAAACCCAATATGTTTATCTATCCAATAGAGATATCATGGGTTTGAATCTAAGAATTAATTTTTTCGAGACGAAAAAACATTGTCTATTATTCACCTTACTAGACTCTACTAGAGTATACAGGTGGGGCATTTTATGCACATTTTTTTTTCTACTTGTAAGTTGTACCCCTGTTTAACTGCAGTTGATATTATTTATATAAAGAAACTGAACCTTTTCTAGCTTGACCACATAAATAATTATACGCAAATTCTGGATCCTAATTTTTTTTTTTTAATTTTAAAATTGATTAAATTCAGATTTTACACCCGACATATAATAAGATGTTTCACCGACGTGAAATTGCAGTGACCCTCACACCATGTGATGATCACGGCCTGAAGTATTTCCCGTCAAGTGTGACAAATTCCGTCACCAGAAGTTGCAGAGTCTTGGAGCTGCCTGAGATGACACACTACTTAAAGAGGCAGAAACAGAATTTTCGAAGCCATTTTGCCCAATTGTTGGTTTTTTTCTCTTCCCAGCTGCTCTATATCCTCTCTGGTATGCTTCTGCAGCTCTGCTGTAAGTGAAAGGCCCAAATAATTAGCATCCCTTGAAACATGTGTCGCATAGGATTGATTTTGGAGAAATTCAACCATATTTGTCCAAGACCTACCCAACCCCAGTTTGGGGGCATACCATTGAACTTTCTTACATCTACTTATTTTCTTCCAGCCCAACGAGAGTGAGAGAGAGAGCAAATTGGACCAGTTACCAATCCAAAAAAGAACAAACAAAAAACCGGAGCTAAAGTATCAAAATGGTCTATATAGTTGTGTGTGTGTGTACTTTTCCTTCACAATAATATGGAGGAGATGATGGCAAATGTTAGCACAGGGTTCTTTTTTTTTGTTGGTTCTTCTTCTGTTCTTATTCTGATGCTTTATACTAGTAGGCATCAGGTGCTAGATAAGGACCACTACAAAGGTTCAATTATGAACCTGAACATCTTTTTCCAAAAAGAACAAGATGCTTACCTTCAACTACAAGGTGGTGAGGAATATGCTGCACCCAACCAAAGGAAAATGAGATCCCTTTCAATACCCTACAGAAGTTGCCTGAGCTGGCTGTTCCATCAGAATATCTGATACTGCTCACCATCTACTTGGTACTCCATGTAGTTTCATAAGTCAAATAGCACATTTCAGCCTTCGACGATTACTACTGAAAATTTCTCAGATAACTGTGTGATCCCTTTTCACCATGCGTGCAGGTGTATAGTGTTGGTGTGTGCGAGCGAGCGAGCGAGAGAGAGAGAGAGAGAGAGAGAGCAAACAGGCATAGGTGCACTTAAAAGCAAAATGCGCCTGCGCGCGCACACACGCACTTAGAGGTAACAACCACAAGCTTGCCCAATCAAACAAATCAATTTACAAGCAAAAACATATTTAACCAACTATTTATATATAACAGACACCAACTGTTCTGCTGATGAAGGTAGCGGAGGCTTTCAAACATGAGCACGTGGGAACACAAGTCTCTGAATGTATCAAGAAAGGACCTGAAGGTCTCTTTGGTTTGGGTGATAGGCTATTAGTGGAACGAGCCCGAACGAAATTTAAGCCAAGTTTGAAAAACTTGTTTTTTAATCGAGCCTAAAAAATTGTTCCAGTTTAACTCATTTAGGAAACGAGTCAAAACCTGAATGAGCTAAAAACAAATCGAGCCCGAGCCGAACCCTAACCCGAGTATTTGTACATAAATGAATCAGTTTGTCAAGTTTGAGCTAAACTTGTAGAGCTCTAAACGAACCTAAAAACTTGTTCAAATTTGGGCTCATTTAAAAAACGAACCGAACCTGAATGAGCTGAACCCAAACCGAACTCTAGCTAAGCTCGAGTAACTCAGTTTGATTAACAGTCATAAGTGGGGGTGGAGGGAAGGATTGGGGAAAAAGAGAGGTGAGGACAACTATTGATACACAGCTTGCACACTGTATTAGCTATCTTGGATATACTACAGCCACAAAATTTGCAGGGAGATTTGACATTTCCTAAAGCAGTTACCTCTTGCTGCCATCCAAAAAGCAAAAATTAACGGGGATTTGTCAGGATAATGATCCTGAAAAAGCCCCGGTGCATCACAAAGTAACAATAGCTCATTTGATATAATTACTTTTTCAAACAACAACAAATGCAATAATCAAGTGAACCATGAAAGAAAAATTGCAACAGACAAGGAAGGAAACATACCGAAAGTTTGAAACACCAACAAAATTCATCACTCAAGCAAAAACATCAAATCCTTCCAAATCTTCTAGGTTCATAATCCCAGATGTAGGAAGAAAATACCACAAGTAAAAACATACTAACAAACCAAACTACTGAAACAAGAGACAAAGCAAACAAGCATACCGTGAAGAACAGCACTACAAAACAATGCAGTCAGGAAAACAGGCAAACACCCAACCAGAGCTAAAAATACCAATGAACACAATCTAAGATGATATCAAAATCTCATCGAACTTATCTGCCCTGTTCCCCTTTCTGGTTTTTACTTTTTCAAATTTTCAATAGATTAGGATCTCACTTGGCCATCATGACTCTGACAAACTCCTCATAGTTGATCTGCCCATCACCATCCACATCAGCCTCACGAATCATCTCGTCAACCTCCTCGTCTGTTAGTTTCTCACCGAGATTTGTCATAACATGGCGAAGCTCAGCAGCAGAAATGAAACCATTCTGGTCCTTGTCGAACACCCGGAAAGCCTCCTTGAGCTCCTCCTCAGAGTCAGTGTCCTTCATTTTCCGAGCCATCAGGTTGAGGAACTCAGGAAAGTCAATTGTCCCATTCCCGTCAGCATCAACCTCATTGATCATGTCCTGAAGCTCTGCCTCCGTTGGGTTCTGTCCCAGTGATCGCATCACTGTCCCAAGCTCCTTAGTAGTGATGCAGCCTGCAGCAATATAAGAAACACATAAAACAGAAAATCACTACTTGATCAACCTTTAGAAAAGATAAATTAGCACAGGTCATCAAACTCTCCTTTTGCCAAAAATACAAGCATCCAGGAAAGAAATAAAGCAACGAAAAATGAAAAAATAATATGTATTTGGAGAGATTATCACATAACAAAATGGAAAACTCAAACGGTGAAAATGGAGAACATAAAAACTAATGACCAAATCAAATATACATAGAAGGTTAAACAATTTTAGTAATGAATGAGCAATCAAAAAACACTACACTATGGCGGAGATCGCCATGCCAAAAAAAATCATATGGGCACTCGTATTTTATAGGCAAAATTGGCGCCAAGTAAGTCCCACCACATATTGTTACGTGTGAGCCTAATTTACAAAAGCAATATCAGACAATTGGAACAGCCAAAATGGCATCATCTGATGGACACCAATTATTTCTGCATTAATTTCTTATGTATCAACACCCAAACAGTGTTCCATCAATGGGGGATGAGATCTTCTCCATTATTTTTGCACACAATTTCACTCAATAGTAGATCACCCACCATGTATTCATGTGGGACCTATTATTTACATATAGACCATCTACTGTAGTGGATGATCAATTTGAGTGAAATTGTGTGAAAAAGTAATGGAGGTGATCTAGATTCCCATCAATGGGTTGGGCTTACTCTCTAGCTCTAAATAGTACCCAATTCTCTCCCATCGGATCACCACCATGTAATGGGCTTGAAATCAGTCCCACCCAAAATCGGGTTGAATGATTTGAAAAGGAACTGAAATTGAAGAGTGGGATCGACAACATCCCAGTTACATAGTACGTCAAGCCCATGAGGGAGAGTATTCCATATTTAGGGCCTACAATACCAACAATCTAATTACTGATCTAGGGCAACGAAGCCACAAGGAAACCACTCCACGAAGTCGAACATCATATGCACATACCACAACCTAAATTCTCGCATAACAGCAAGAAAATCACACAAAATACAGAGAACATATAAAGAAAGGAAAAAAAAAAAACTTTTCACAAGAAAATTGCAAACAAAACATAAACAACAAAAATCACAAACTAATCTAAAGCGGTCCAATTATACACAAACAACAAATAGATCTGACATATAACATAACAATAACAGAAAGAAAAAACCCAGAAAAGGGAGATCGGAAAAGGGAAAAGCCAGACCATCGCCATCCTTGTCGAATAGGCTGAAAGCCTCCTTGAATTCAGAGATCTGGTCGTCGGTCAGCTGATCTGCCATTCTCTAGCTTAGAGAGAGAGAGAGAGAGACAGGAAATGAGTATGAAGTTTAGGGAAGCAGAGGAATGGGGCTTGTGTGTATATATATCTATGTATAGATAAATATAGAAGGTAAAATTATACTTTACCCCTTAACTATTACTCTTTTTCAAATTGACCCCTTAAATATTATATTTTTTATATTATACCTTAAACTATGTAATTAGTTTTATAATGAACCAATAATTAATGTCCATTAAAATTTTAATGAATAGTTTTTTTCTGTTTTTTCGTCTCAAACTACATGACTGCTTTCACTTTGCTTTGACGCGTAAGTAATTTTTGTACAAAAAAAATGACACGCATTTGTGATTGGGAGGTTAAAGTGTAATTTACACTATTTAGAATATGGAGGTGCTGGTCCAAAGGGCATCTGATGCTCTCTCGCTGGATGACATAATCACTTTTTCTCAAATCTCAACAATTTTTTTTTCTTTTACCATTTTGCCCCTACTTCGTCGGATTAGGATCCGGATCCGGATCCTCTTGGTTTCAAATCCTAGGGATAAAATATCATCCAGGTCCCCCGATACTTCAACAAATGACACAATAGCTCCCTTACTTTGGAAAATAAATATCCTACGGCCACGAGTGTCTTTCGTCAGACAAAAAAAACTGTCAGAAAAAATATTATTTAAAATACAGACACTGTCCACTTTGCTCTTCAAATTAGGCAATTTAATCATCAATTATAATTGTAATACTAAAAATTTATACATAACTTTTGAATTAGTTACATACCTATCCATTGGACAAATAATTCATTCGTCCACGATCACCATCCTCTAGTGAATCCATTAACCATCGTTATTATTACGAAAGTCACCTGTAAACTTATTATCAATTGTAATTGACTAACGTGTTTCAACACATTGATTTAATCGATTTGTGAGACTGTGTTAAATCCTAGGGATAAGTTTTTAGGGTTTTTTGCATGTTTTTCAACTTTAAAAAGACTAAGAGCAACTTGGAAAAAAAGAGAGGAGAAAGAAGAAGAGATCGGGCCAAAGATTGTTGAGATTTGCTCATACAAAGTAAAGTTATGCACTTTAGAATCAAATTTTTATAGAATCAAGGTATTGTTTTCTTTCTTTTTTGACTCATATCTGTATAAATATTATAGAACTGGATTAATTTTGATTTTTTTTTAACAAAAAAAGTGTGATCTAATTTGATCAACAAATATTTAATTTTCATATTATTTGCGTTTTAAGTTCACAAACCCTAGCTCTTAATTGATGAATTTCTTTGTTGATTTGTGATCTCTGCTTGCTTCATTAAATCCTTACTCATTTTATAAAAGTTGAAAAAATATCGTTTAGTGCATTACTTGACTTGGTTTCTAAGCATTATTTGATACCATGAATTGTTGGGTTGATGAACTTGACCTATATTGCAAAGTGTATAAATATGTTTGTTATGTCGAGGGATTTTAAGATTTCTTCACGCGTATGAATGTGTTTGGTTTCTTGCGGAGTTCCAAGGATATTTATTATTCATTCACGTTGGTCGAGACAAAGGGCTAATAGATGAGTTTGGTTCTTTGTGCCTTAAAAGAATTGGTTAGATATTAATGCGTAAATATCAATTCTTCCTACAACCCTCTAGGGATGATATGATTTATGATTATGATGTTGTGAACTATATATATCTCGGTGTGCTGAATTCTTACTAATCAAACTATTTACACTCTTGAATATATACTCAAAATACCCTCATTGCATGCAAAAATTTATGAGATCGTCATTACTTACATGTTTTGATTCAAAAGTTATATATTTATTTTGGAAACTGTGACCTACCTATCATTTTGTAAACCTTCTTTAGGTGTAGAAAAAAAAATTTACTGAGCTAGTTGTGTTCACCCCTTAATATTTTTCAGATGTGGATATAGAGATCGAGCATAAGCTTATGTAATGATACTGAGTTAAAATTGGATACAGATCAGAGTGTCGATCCGAAATTCGATGATTGAAAGACATGATTTAGTTTTATTTTATTATTGTCTGGATGTTTGGATTAAGTTTTATGGATTTCTAGATTTGAACTAATTAGCAAATGTTATTACTTCATTTTGGGGGAATGTTGGATGTGACCTTTTTTAATTAGTTTATAAATGCTCTTGCAGGTGGCTTGTTCCAGTCAGTTATAGCCTGATATTTTCAATTTTAAACTCCTCCATATTATTTATTTTGAAAATTAGTTTACTTACAAAAATTTGTTTATTGTTCCAAATTTATTGATGAATCACATAAATTTTGATTTTAAAGATTTTTGTTTAAATCACGTTTTTATGAAATTTAGGGCGTGACAGTCTAGCCTAGGATTATTTTGTTCTGATTAAGAACAAAAATTGATGGTGGTTGTGATCTGTCCACACTTAGAAGGGCCTTTAGTGTAATTTCATTAAAAAGTTAAGGTTTTTCCTATAAATGTTAGAAATCCCAAGGGATGTCTTTCTAATTTACCCAATTTTGAAATTGAGTTGCCGCTTTTCTTTTTTATTTGGTGAACAATGGGGAGAGATTCTACTTTTTTTTTCCATTGAAAAGTGTAAGAATGTAGGCCACAATGACTAAGTTGTAGCATGAGACCTTTCTTTATTATAGAAAAGTAAAAGTATGGTACTGAAAATAAATGTTTCACTACTATAGTTGGATTAGTTGCCGAGGCATAAAAAAATAAAGAATGATGCATTTAAATGGACCTATTTTGTAATGCTTATGCATTTTTTATATGACAAGTGATGTTAACCAAGAGAGTAACACAAGCTTAATAAATTTTTATAAATGTACTAAATTTTCAAAATTATTCAATGGGACCATTGCTAATGTAGTGTTAAAAAATTGGATAAATAATAAGGTTATAAGTTGATTATTATTTGAAAAATTAGTAAATTGAACAGTATTAGCACCAACCTTTTTGCTATAAACAAGTCCGTTCATTTTGGTTCTTGGCCAGAAAAAGAAAATAATTAAAGAATATCATGTAACCGAACAATTTGTATACTTTTACAAGATGCTAATCACGTTTAACATAATTTTCATCGACTTTTTCTAATGATACTCTTTATCTTGTGAAACTTTTGTTTTCTTGAGGTCAAGGGTTCAAGTCCCTTTCCCCCTCCCCTCCCCTCCCCTCCCCTCCCCTCCCCTAAAAAAAAGAAAAAAGTTACTTTAAAAAAAAAAGAATATATAAAAGACCCATTCATATTTAATCGATCCGAATCAAATGTACAACCAACTATCTATCACTTAAAAAAAGTGTACTCAGGGAATTGAAATTTGACTTGAGCTAAACACTACATGGAACCTTAAACAGCTGAAAGTGAACTATCTTCAAGAATATGTCCACCAACGGGTATATAATCATATGGCCATATCTTGAAACAAAATCAATACTCATAACATGATGTGTCGGTTCAAGTGATGCAGTGCATCAAATTCATCCTCAAAAAGTGTCCCTCCTAGAACTAACTAAAGGGATAAAACAGACAACGTATAAATCCAAATATCTTGGAGTCGAATATTAACAATCCTTTGAGATGAAATCATGAAAAATTTATCTTTTATGAATATCTTAATCCCAACGTGAATAACTTGATTTAAACCTAACTGGAGAAGAGATTAGTCGAGGTACTTGTAAATTGATCTGGACATCCTTAACCGTTGAACTAAAAAAAAAAAACTGCCCCTATATATTGTTTGGTCCCAAAAAACTGTCCCTATACAACAAAATGAGATGAAAATGTTGTATGAATTTTCTGTGAAGTTAGCAATAGTCTGCCAAGAAACAAAAGAAAAAAAAAATTCAATTCCCAGTAAAAAGTAGGAAAAAAATGACGAAATAAGGGCCGAACAATCCAGTAGCATCGTCAACAACCTGTTTCCCTGAGATATCTTTCCTATACCAAGAACCATTTTTTCCTTCCCAAGTATTCAAAGGAATCAGAAAACAATTCCCACTGAAGTGCTTTCAATGAAGAAACTGTGAGTGAAAAAGACTACGGAAACCATAAGGGGTCCTCAATTTAATGACATTTCGCCATTGAAATTGAAATGTTTTTAAGGGTATAGATTTCACACACCTCACCTCTCCAGAAATATCCATCCTCTCCAACAATAAAAACAACCCGTGAAACAATCGGTGAACCCATCTATCTAAATTTTATGAGGGGAGGGAGAAAAAGGTTCCCATAAAAGCAAACAAAAGAAGCAAAAGAATGAAGAACCACAGCTATAGCACAAAATCTGCTGAGCTACTGTAGGAAGAACAATTATTCTCTCTTTTTGGATTGGGCAGAGCTTTACTTCATTTCTTGCATGTCCTCTTCAGTTTTCCAAACAACGTCCTCAAGGCAGGTTGAAAGATTCTTATAGAACTGCATGGTAATGATACAAGAGAAACATTCATCACTATTCGCACTAACATTAAAGTTGTAGCACTCTATGATATCCTTCCCCAAGCCACAGGCAAACTAACTGGAGGCCAAATACAAATAAGTCCTATGCTGCCATTACAGCATGCAGCTTCTGTATTTAAGTGACATGAATAGATAAAAACTAACATGAAAATCTTTGAATTGTTTTTTGGCCTTTGAACAATAAAGAAAAGGAATTATAACAATGATGACATTCGAAAATAAGGAAAAACCAAAATAATAAAATTCTTAACGCTTTTGTAGTTTGGTAAGCACAAGTTACAAAAAATCAATAACGAGAACATGAATTTTTGCAAATGCACAAAACAGAATGGAAGAATAAGATGGTTCCTGGAAGGCTTGAGGATCAGCTAGTCAAGAAGACTTGAGGATCAACTTTTGCAACAGAGGGACTTCCTGATTTCGGAGGCTGGTTCTCTACTTTTCTTTCCGCGTACCTAGGTTGCTCAAGGGCTCTAATTTAGTGGTAAACCTCTTACCCCAAATATATACATATATGTTAACGACATTCAGGAAAGGTGGTTCTTCTATTGAGAAGATTTAACAGAATAGGTATAGTGGAAAAGAATAATACAATACAGAAG